AAGATAAAAATGCATGCACTGAGTAATGAGAAGGTATGGTATGCTATTTAAAAATCACATGAGCCTGGCCCTGGCCGGTTTGGCTCAGTGGTTGGAGAGTTGGCCTGTGGTCCAGAGACCTGGGTTCGGTTCCCGCTAAGGGCATGTACCTTGGTTGCGGTTTGTCCCCAGCCCTGATTGGGTCGTGCGGGTGGCAACTACTCGATGTGTCCCTTTCACATCGATGTTTCTCTCTCTCCCTCCCACTCTATTGTCCTCAGGTGAGGATAAAAAAAAAAATCACGTGAGTTTGGCCGGTGTGGCTCAGTGCATTGAGCATCATCCCATGTACTGAAAGGTCTCAGTTCGATTCCCAGACAGAGCACATGCCCAGGTTGTAGGCTCAATCTCTCAAATATCGCTCTCCCCCTCTCTCTAAAAAATCAATAAAAAGATATTTTAAAAAATCAAAATCAAAATCACATGAGCCTTAGAATTGGCAAACATGCCCTGGCTGGTTTGGCACAGTGGTTGGAGTGTCGGCCCGAGGACCAAAGAGTCTTGGTCATGGACATGTATCTCAATTGCGGTTTGGTCCCCGGCCCTGTTCGGGGTCATTCAGGAGGCAACCAGGCAATGTGTCCCTCTCACAGCCATGTTTCTCTCTCTCTCCCTCCCTCCCACTTTATCTGAAGATAAATGGAAAAATATCCTTGGGTAAGGATTAAAAAAAAAAAGAATTGGAAAGCAAATGGTTCTGCCTAGAAGAACACTCTCTTCTTCTTCTTCTTCCCTTCCATGGAACAAAGCCTTGGACTTTGAAACTACAGCGCTTTGTTCCACGTGGAAAGCAGCTTGGCATGTCCCTGTGCTGGAAGCTCCCCAGTTTTGGATGGTAAATACATCTTCTTCCCAATAGTTTCCCTTTGTTCATCCAGAGCTTCATGCCGGTGGTCACCTTTATGAAATCAAATGAAGATATACTCGTTGGCTGGCTGCATAAATCTATCCTTCCTTATTAGCTTTGCCCTAGTGCCAGAGTAGCAGGCTTTGAGCTCCGGGAGGATTTCCAGGTAGCAGTAGAGCAATGGTCCCATAGGGTAGTGTTCTGGCATGGTTCTCCTTTCAACCAGTAGCAGAGGCTGCACTTTGCTGGTATAATTGTGCAACCTGGTGTAAAGTCCACAGTCAGAGAGGTGGGGTAGGACTCAAGCTGGCTCAGCACTATGTGGCCTCTTGGCTCCCTTTCTAGCTTCTCTTGCCCTCTTTACTGTTTCTCTTTCTCTCTCTCTCTCTCTCTCTCTCTCTCTCTCTCTCTCTCTCTCTTCACCTCTCCCTTTCCCAACCCCCCAGGGCCTCCTCTCCCTCCTCTCCAATCTGATCATCCCTGTAAGCCTCCTAACTCAGGGATCCCTAACTCAGGGAACCACCTCTTATCAGATATCTTGGCTTGCCTCCAACTGCTAGCAGCAGGCAACTCTGGCCCTTGTCTGCAATCTGACTGACTTTCTTCTCCACCAGTTCTAATCCATTTGGAATTGTGTGTAAAATCCAGGATGGGTGGGGGATCCAAAAACAAAACAAAAAAACAAAAATGGATTTTTTTTTTTAGTGAGATTGTCGTCTCTGGACTAAAATAGCAATGAAAGGAGACTTGGATCCTACTTCCTTCAAAAGTGATATGAAAAGGGCAGGAATAGCAAAGAAAAAAGCAAAAAGTAGCATCAGCATACACTAAAGCCCAAGGCAAACCATACTACTTTTTAGATATTGGGACATCATGCTGAGTTCTTTATTTTCCAGTTAACCAGGATTTATAAAGGCTACTTTGCCTTTAATATACCTGCCATGCTGGTCTTGCTCAAGTGGCTCTGGACAGATATCATCTGCACCACCTCCACAGCCAGCCACACAACACAAAGCTGCAGACTCCCTGACTCCACTGTTCTTGCTTTCTAAGAGGGAGCCTTGAGAGAAATGGAGAAACACATAACACAGGAAAGAAAAGAGAAGTTGGATGGAGCAATTACATTATAAGGTTACATTTTGCATGCAAAATCAAGACATAGGGTACAAGCAATCACCTTTCCAGTACTTCAGGGCTTTAAAAACACAATAGCCTTCTGTTGGATCAAATAATATAAATATATATATATATATTTTTTGGTACGTGCCCCTAGCGGGAACCAAACCCAGCACTCTCTGGTCTGCAGGCTGACACTCCAACTGCTGAGCCAAACTGGCCAGGGCTCAAATAATATTATTTAAAACCTTCCTTCTTCAAGGTTTTCACCCTTCTTTTTGGGTTGTACATATTTATTTTACATTTCTTTTTTTTAACTGATTTTCCCAAGGAATGGGAGATGTATAGTGTATATGCATGTATAAGCAAAACATATTTATGAAATCTTTTAAAAAATATGTTTTTATTGATTTATTGATTTTTTTTTTTTTTAATTCTCACCTGAGGACATTTTTGCATTTATCTTCAGATAGAGCGGGAGGGAGAGAAGGAGGAAGAGAGAGACAGAAACATCAACGTGCTATTCACACACCCCAACTGGGGCCGGGGACAAACTGCAACCGAGGTACATGCCCTTACTGGGAACCAAACCTGGGTCTCTCTGGTCTGCAGGTTGACTCTCTAATCACTGAGCAAAACCTGTCAGGGTATTTTTATTGACTTTTAGAGAGAGATAGAAACATCCATGTGAGAGACATTAATCGACAGCCTCCTGCACGCCCCCTACTGGATCGACTAGACAATCCAGGCATGTGTCCTGACCAGGAATCAAACTAGGACCTCTCAGTCCATGGGAAGATGTTCAATCCACTGAGCCACACTGGCTGGGTATGAAATCTTTTTTAGTGTATGAAATAGCTGACCTTTGTGGCAATTTTCCTAGTTTTGGGATAGTAATTTTTGAGTTCCTGAACTTAGATGTCAAATTCTCTTAGTCAGTCTGGCCTAATTCAATGTTCTCTATGGCACCCAGTCACTATGAATGGCAAGAGCCACTATTACCCAAAATACCATCGTAATGACCATGTCCTCCTGTGACGTTTTTCTTTCCTAACTGCCAGTATATTAACTGCCTTCTAACTTGTTCTAAAATTGCTAGGTAGGACACACTGCCAAGACTAGAGAGAAGAAAGCTGCTGATAATATGTTAAAAGGCTGAGTAAAGGACATACTGATACCTCCTTCTCATTGGAGCATCTTTACATTTGCATGTTACTTCATTTGTTATGGGATGTTAGTTCAAGCTTGCCTTATGCCATGGATCCCATCTTATCATGGTCAATGTCTGATCTTGCCTTCAACTGAATGATTCAAACATCTCTGAAGTTATTTTGGCTTTCCCACTTTCTTTTTACAGGGTTTTTATGAGTCACTGAATTGAAGGGGAGGTTATTTCTAAATTGGAAGGTGAAGATGAGAGAAGGGGGAGGAAAGTTCCGGAAAATAACTAGGAAAAGACACCTTACTGTTATGTATAGTTACTGGAGGAATACTTTCTGCTTAGTTTGGTGATAGAGGTATGTAGTTTATAAGCTAGAAAATGGACAGTTTTTATTTCTGGATAATGTATCATGCAGTTTTAGACTCTTTATAGCTTGCTCTACAAAGGACAGGGGGTAAATAAAAGGGATATGGAACAAGGAGTTAGCAGAAAGAAGAAAGGGGCAAACACAAAATTTCCAAAGTCCAGATTCTTGGTCCTACATAAGTTTCCAACTATAAAATAATGCTTTTAAGGGGATTACCTCCTTGATTTATCCTAATCCATCCTGGGTGTATGTGTCTTGGCCCATGGTTTGTGTATTACAGGTGGAGTTGTGAGGAAAGTATATTTAAGTCTGATTTAGAAATTGAAAAAGTAATCAGGACAGCATTTTGTTATTTAGGAGCAGGAAAATGGGTGGAAATTAAAAAGAAAAGCAAAAAGCTAATGACAAATATATTTCTGGGAGCATAATAGTTTTTATAGCAACAGCAGATTTCTCAAAAGTGCCTACTGTGATCTGTACACAAATGAATAAAAAATGCAATCATTTATTCTTGTGCATTGTGTCTGTGAGAAAAGAACTGCAATTCATTCAATGGTCCTAATTTAGACTGCTGGGAAGAGAAGTGGTTTAGAAAAAAGGGCAAGCTTTTTAAGTATCTGACACATATCTAGTAGGGCTATTTAAGAACTGCTGAACATTGAAATCAAGTTTGGTGGATTTTGGGGGAGAGGAATTCTCATTTCCAGAGCATCACAAGGGTAAAATGTGGCTCATTTAGCCCAAACTTGCTGATGACTACTTGGTCACTTCGCAGTAGCCAGCCAGGGGTGAGTCTGGAAGCTGGAGGACTCTCAACAGGGCACTTCAGTTTATTAATGACATGTATAGTTGCAACCAAAGTGGACTGATTTCTGCTAAATAAACGGCTGTGCTTTGCCTTTTAACATGGAGACTTCTGGGAGGAACTTCAAGGAAACTGGGCGCATTGGGACCTCAAAGAAAGGAGAAATTTATTTACACAGTGCTTTTCTCCCAAGGAGTGGGAAACACTTCTTAAACACAACCTCTGACGTTGGTATTTTGTAAGTAGTACCCTGTGAATAATCGAGCAGTGATAAGCTGGTGAAAGAGATGAGTTTACAGAGCAAACCCTACAACAAAAGAGTTAACCCTTCCTGGGTAACCTTAGATGTGAGCTTTTGCCCCTTCCTGGCTTTCTACTGCGCAACCAAACTGTGCTTGCACCAACCGTGGCCGTCACATTGCTTGCCAGTTTGATTTAACAGACACTTTAGACAGCCTATCATAACTTCGAACTGTCCAACCATCAACCAATTACAACTAACGCTTGGTCCAGAACACTCCGGGTCCGGGCGGGAGCTCATACCGGGTCCAGGAAAAGGGGCGGTAAGGAAGCTATGACGGACAGGTAAGCCAAACCAATTAGAGCAGAGAGCCGCTGCTTCACTATCCAATGGAGAGGTAGGAAGTATAAAACGGGGTGGGCCTGTTGTCATGGGGGAGGTGGTGGCGCTTGGTGGCTACTGGCGGCCGCGGTAGAGACAGTGGCTCTGGAGTTGGTCGGGGGCAGCGGCAGGTGAGTTCGGATAACGCGGGCCTGAAGTCTGGGGGCTGTCGCGGGGCGGAAGCTCGAGCTTGGCACTCCAGAGGCGGAGGCCAGAGGAAGGGGCCCTGGACTGCGGGCCGGGTCGGGCCGTGGCCAGGGTGGAGGCGGGGGCGGCGGCGAGTTCGCGTTGACTGGGCTGGTGGGAGAATGGCCCGGCTCCCGACGGCGGAGTTTGTGTCGGCCAGGTAGGTTGGGGCCAGACCCAAGCGGGTCAGGCCAGGAGGTCCCTTGGGACGTAGTGCTGTTTTGGTCTGGGACACTGACCCCGGCCAGTGTGTGTGGGGTAGGTCCCTGGGGAGACGGAGCGGGCGGGGTCCCAGACAGGGTGGTGACCGGTAATGACCTGGTCCGAGGACGGGGCGACTCGGAAATACCAGGACAGCTTGGGTTCAAAGAAGAAGAGGAACCCGGGAAGCCCGGGAGCGGCCGAGCGGAGAGAGCTGGGGGGTCGGGAACTGGGAGTGGTCCGGTTTCGAGGGAGATGGGCAACCGAGGGCAGCCGGAGTCCGTGGTGACAGGGAGCGACCTGAATCCTAGCGAGGGCGTCGAGGATTGGCAGGGAGGGGGTGGGAACCCTCCTGAGAAAGGTAGCTGTCGGAGGGAGGTGGGCTCCTGGGGAGTTAAGGAGCTGAGGGTCTTTAGGAGGGCTGGACCGGTGGAGACCTTGAACAGCTTGGAGAGGAACCGGAGCGCCCTGCCCCCCGCCGCTGGTCTGGGATGGGGGACTCAAGACTGAACGAGGAACTAACTCCTGGGTCTGAGGATCCTCGGGACACCAGGAAGAAAATCCTCGAGGAGTAGCTCGGGCTTGAGACTGGGGTGAGGGGTTTGGCCGGGGACTGGAATTTCTTTCAGTTAGAGAGGACTCTAGCAAAACGACACGCAGGTGGGCGGGGAGAAATAATTTCCTTGTAGGAAGGGAGTAGAAGATAGGGCGGAGTAGGAACGAGCGAGAAAGTTGCTCAGGAAGGGAACAGTGGTCTTGTGGAAACTGGCCAGTACCGTAGATATGAGAAATTAAAGTGAGGCCATTAATAAGCACCAAGAATTTAAGAAATAGAAGAAACTTCAGCTTCATTCATAATACGAAGATGCCATCGAGGACCAGAGAAAAGGTCCTCAAAGCAAGGTTAAAGGACTTCATTCCAGTGTTTTAGAAAAGAAATTTGTTTTAGGATGACAGCAATAATATTAGAAAATAAGGACATTGACAGAATGGGGAATTTGAAAGGGAAAAGAGGAGGAATATAAAGAAGTAGGACTGGAGACTTGATCAGAGAGAGTCATGAAGAGGATAGGTAGATACACTCTTGCCAAATTAGAAATAAGTTTGAATTCTAGTCCACCACTTAGCTTGGGCAACTTAACCTCTTTGTGCAAAAGTTTTCTCCTCTGTATAATAGGGATAACAATAACTCCTACTTCATAGGGTTGTTTTTTCACATAAGTTAATATTTGTAGAACTTTTAGAATAGGGACTGGTACAGACTAAGCACTGTGTATTGGATTGTTAAATAGAGGATGAAGAAAGACCTGAGTTCTTTAATGAGGTGGTTCTCAAACTTTAACTTGCACCAAAATCACCTGGAGGGCTTGATAAAATACACACTGCTGGCCCCATTGTGTGTCTGATTCAGCAGGTCTGGGTGGGGCCTGAAAATTTACGTTTACCTCAGGTGATGCTTATGTTGGTCAAGCAGCAATAATGTGGCAACCTTAAAATACCTGTCTACCCTGCTAGGAACAGAGGCATATTGCAAAAAATAAAAAATAAAAAAAAAATCTTAATATAAGAAGTTCTCTATTTTAATCCTGTTTTTCAAACTATGGATCATGATTTACTACTAATTTATTGAATCAGTTTTTAGTGGGTTACCACCAACATTGAAAATAAAATGAGCCCTGGCTTGTGGGCATTGTCCCGTGCACCTGGAGGTCACTGGTTCAATTTCCAGTCAGGGCACATGCCCAGGTTTCAGGCTCCATCCCCTGTAGGGGTTGTGCAGGAGGCAGCCAGTGGATGCTTTGCTCTCACACTGCTGTTTTTTTCTCTCTCCCTCTCCCTTCTTCTCTCTTTAAAAATAAAAATAAATCCGGCTGGTGTGGCTCAGTGGTTGAACGTGGACCCATGCACAAAGAGGTCACTGGTTCGATTCTGTGTCAGGGCACATACCCAGGTTGTGGGCCAAATCCCTAGTAGGGGGCATGCAAGATGTGGCCAATGGATGTTCTCTCTCATAGATGTTTCTCTCTCCCTCTCCCTTCCTCTTTCTCTCAAATCAATTAAAAAAAAAAAAAAAAAAAGAAAAGAAAAGAAAAGAAAATGAAATAGACAAAAAGAATTGACTAGCATTGCACTTGGTAAGGAGAAGTATTGTTTTGGGATATTTTTCTCATATGCTGTATACTAGGGTACAATGTAAAATGTATTTCTGACAGTCAAAAGACTGAAAAACTATTTTGAGCCATGCAGTGCAGCAAAAGCAGCCCTAAAGTAGGGGTACCTAGGGACTGGGTTTATTATTTATTTCTTTGTTTTCTTCTTGTGCTAATTCTTTCTCAGGTTGTGATAGATTCTATTAAATTTCTTCAGTTTCTGATTTGGTTCCTCCCATGTTTGCCTTATCACATATCGCATATCACATTGTACCTCTTTTTAGATATTGAGAATCTTTGGCACAAGGACTTACGGAAATTTGAGGCAGAGAAATGAAATCAAGTGGTGTTTGTCAGATGTGGTACACTTTGTTTCGCTTGTGCCCCTTGTTTACCCTTCCTTTTTTACCACCCTACTGTAAAGCATTGTCTGTTAAAAAAAAACCACGTAAGTTTACACAGACATATTGACAGTGATTAACACTGAAATGGACTGCTTTGAGAACAGTACATGTATAGGAAATAAGTAAAAACCAAGTAAGACACATTTCAAAAGAAAAAGGTAAAAGGGTGTTTGTTTTCTAGAGTAAAAATATCTTAAAAGTTTTCATGGCCTTACACTAATACAAAATGTAATAGAAAAGCATTATTATTATTATTTTTTAATCCTCACTGGGTACATTTATGCATTCATCTTCACATAAAGCAGGAGGGAGAGTGGGAGGAAGAGAGTGAGAAACATTGATGTGAGAGAGACACATTGACTGGCTGCCACCCACACAACCCCAACCTGGGCCAGGGACAAACTGCAACCAAGGTACCTTCCCTTAGCAGGAACTGAACCCAGGACTCTCTGGTCCACGGGCTGACGCTCTAACTGCTGAGCCAAACCGGCCAGGGCAGAAAAGCATTTTTTTTTAATCCTCACCCGAGGACATTTTTCCATTTTTTTGTTCAGATAGAGTGGGAGGGAGAGAGAGAGAGAGAGAAACATCGACGTGAAAGGGACACATCGAGTGGCCGCCACCTGCACAACCAACCATGTCCCGGGACTAACTGCAACCGAGGTACTCGCCCTTAGTGGGATCTGAACCCGGGTCTCTCTGGACCGCAGGCCGACGCTCTAACCGCTGAGCCAAATCGGCCAGGGCCGGAAAAGCATTTTTAAGGGAACCAGATATACTTGTGCATTTTAGATTTCTAGATTTTTTTTTTTTTTTTCAACTGCTAACTTTTATTTTTATCCTCATCCGAGGACATTTTTTTAAATTTTTTGTACAGACAGAGTGGGAGGGAGAGAGAGGAAGAGAGAGAGAGGGAAACATCGATGTGAAAGGGACACATCGAGTGGCTGCCACCCGCACGACCAACCAGGGCCAGGGACAAACTGCAACCGAGGTACGTGCCCTTAGCGGGAACCGAACCCGGGTCTCTCCGGACCGCAGGCGGACGCTCTAACCGCTGAGCCATACCGGCCAGGGCTAGATTTCTAGATTTTTGAAGAGAGAAGAAATAGTGATAATACTGGACAGTAAAATGCACCTGGGATAGAGGTTTAACAATGAAGTAAATAGTTTAAGTAGGAGCTTTTGTTCTGATGGTTTTCTACCTTGAGAATTAACTGTATGTGGCATATACTGTAAATGTAACTTGTTTGAGGGACCTAACTCCATAACACTTTAAGATATATTGACAGTATATATGTATGTTTTGTGCTGTTCTTAGTTTGATTTTTCTATAAAATACTAGGTGGTTTATTATTTAGAAAGAGTTGATTTAGATCTGTTTTTATGGATATAAAAACCAAGAAAGCAGCATTGAAAAACTAGGAGATTCTTATAACTCTCTTTAAATCTTTAATCTGGTGGATTTATGTAACCCTTTCATTAGTGTTATGTGAAATTGTGAAGAAACTATTGATGTAGCTTTTTTTGCATTAGGATGTTCAGATAATTTTTTCTCTCTCAAAAACAATTTTTACTTTTGCGTCGATGTTTCTCTTGCTCTCTCTCCCTCCCACTCTATCTGAACAAAATCTCGAAAATGTCCTCGGGTGAGAATAAAAAAAAAATAATAATTTTTAGTTTTATTTCAGATTTTTATGTTTTGTTAAAATTTTTATTTTTGTTTGGAAGACAGCAAAACATATAATCATTGCATGTTTGAGGTGAAAAACATAAGCAGTCTTTCACAAAACAAATTTACTAATTTTGGAGGACAAAGGGACCAAGGATGAAAACTTTTGAATCTTTGTATTGAGTTAAATGTAGTACCCCTACCACCAAATTGTTCTATAAATCATTATACAGTTGGTGGACACATTTGTATAGACCATTCATTTCTTTACCAACTGATGGAAGAATGCAAAACCTTGATAATCAGGTGTGGGAAAAATAGAAAAGTTCATCCTTCATAATTTTGAACATTGACTTGTTTGATTACTTACTTTCTTTTTAAATTTTTATTTATTGATTTTTATAGAGAGGGAGGGAGAGAGACAGACAGACATCGATTTATTGCTCCATTTATTTATGTATTCATTCGTTGCTTCTTGTATGTTCCCTGACGGGATTGAACCTGTAACTTTGGCATAT